GTGTACATGTGTGATGTATGTTCCTGTGTGTCTGTTGCAGGCAGAGAGTTTTCGTCCATTTCCTGTTTTAAGGTGCCGGAAGGGGGAGTGGCCTCTCTGTCCTGTCAGTACTCGGTGAAACGTTTCGGTCTGAGTCGCGTCTGTTGGGGTCGCGGCTGTGGAACCTTCTGGTGCAGCAACATCCTGGTGCAGACGGACGAGAACGGCGTCATCTCTAAGGTCAGGTGACATCATGTCATGTGATTTCTGTCTCCTCTTCAACTTTTTTAGTTTTGTCTCCACGACATCATGTCTTCGTCAGTGAAAAAAACCAAAACAATGTATTTCTTTTCCTGCAGGTGTCGGACCGCTACCGGCTGATGGGGGACATCCTGGACGGACAGATGGACCTGGACATCGAGAACGTGCGGTGGACTGACAGCGGGCAGTACTGCTGCAGGGTGGACATCGATGGGATCTTCAATGACGAGAAGGTGATCATGAACCTGAGAGTGATGAAAGGTGAGACCACATCAATGTCTCCACTGACACCAAACTTATTAAACATCCTCTGTTGACTTTCTCCTCCTTTGTTTACTCTTTGATCCGGTTGTGAAATGAGATGTTTGAGTGACAGTTAATCTGATGACATCACTTCATCTGATGACATCACTTCATCTGATGACATCACTTCATCTGATGACATTAGTTCATCTGGTTTTATTCTCAGCTCCGGTTACAACATCTCCTCCAACGACGCCGATGACAGATCCAGTCACGGACCCGTCAGCCTCCACCGGTGAGACAGGTGGTTCGTCATCGTTCACAAACATCCCAGCATGCATTGCTTTAACGTTCTATGAAAGGAATATGAGGTCATGAATAGAAGAAGAACTTGAAGTAAACAAAGATGAACAGATTCTACTTGTTTATATAACTGTCAGTTTTTTACAGTGTTGGTTCTCAGGTTGAAACTTTTGTCCGACTCTTTGTAGTGAACTGGAAAACTCTGCTCTCGTCTCAGCTGGTCGTCCTGAGGAGGAACTCCACGCTGCTGCATTCTGACACCGTCACTGTAAGTAACCCCCCCACCCAACCATCACCACTCACCTGCAGGGGGCGCAGCTGTTGAAACCAGGGACACACCTCAGGTAGAACAGGAACTGAAGAAAAGAAACTAAATCTGCGTTCAAATCGATCTGACTGTGTCCAACGTGTGAGAAAACAAAAGTCATGTCGGACACTTTCAACTTCTCGCAGCATCAGTGACGAGAACAACGAGCGACATCACAGCGTTCAAAGCGTTTTGCAGATGAAACGAAAGGAAAGGAACAACAATGAACGTTGAAGTTGAGAACTTTGTTTCAGCTGAAGTTTAAAACTATTGTGAAAAGTGACTGAGTTTAAATACACAGAGTAACTAACTGATTCATCACATCCTCTGTGGAGAGAAATAAACAGAGAGAACCCTAAAAACGTTTTTATATTAAAGTTTTGATATTTAGTACATTTGAAGTATTATAAGGTTAAACTCTCTCTCTCTCTGTGCCAGGTGGAGGACTCTCTACACTCTCTCTCCCTTCAGATCAATGTCACCGTCCTCTCTCTCTCTCTCACCGTGTTGTTGATCTTGGCGTCAGTGTTCCTCTTTCTGGCCTTCAGACGTACGTCCTCTCTTTTCTATCAACAGTACACTGACTCATATCCTGCTGGTTCTCATGTGAGTCTGTTGATTGAACTCTTCTCTGCAGGTGGAGTTTACAGCAGAGCGTTAACGAGCAGCTGGTGAGTTTAAAACATGGAGACGGTTTTTCATGTGGAACTTTCATTATTGAAAACATAAAATCTACCAGTTTCAATAATTGTTCAACTTGACTCTCATAAAACAGTAAAACCGAATTTTTCACTTTCCAAAACCTGCTCGTCTGTTTATGTCATCATTGTTGTACGCCTACTGCTTTACCACCACCTGCTGGACAGGAGTGGAACAGCTCATAGCACTCACACAAGGAACCTTTTAGTCGAACACTTCCTGGACTAAAGGTTCTGCTGTAAACTCTTGTCCTCCAGTTTCTCCTCTGAAGAACCTCCTCACATCATTTATGAGATCCGCATGAGACGACCGGTCCAGGAGAACATCTACACATTGGACTAGAGACCTGACAAACACAGCAGGACCATCGACCACTGACCATCGACCACTGACCATCGACCACTGACCATCGACCACAAATTCTAATACAACAGACAGAAGGAACGCACATTAAACCTCACAACATTTAAAAGTGAATTAGCTGAACACATGCAGGCTACACTGTTAGTGACAGGAAGTGTTAGTGACAGGAAGTGTTAGTGACAGGAAGTGTTAGTGACAGGAAGTGCTAGCGACGCTTTGAATCCACCGCTGGTAGTTGAGTCATGTGACTGATAAGAGCCAATCAGGAAGAGAACGTGGGCGTCGGCATCATAGCTGATAATGTCTCTGATTTATCGGAAAATTTAAGAGTAGCGTCGACACTAGGTGTAACCATAGCAACAGTTAAGAGTTTTAAAACTACACTAAAAGTATCCACACACAGACACACACACACAGACACACACACACACAGACACACACACACACACGTGATTTGATTCTGTGTTGAGAAGTTTCTTGTTGCTTTTGTTTTGTTTCTGTAAAAAATAAAGTTTTGTAAACTGAATAAATATCAAAGCAGTCTGAGTGTGTGTGTGAACAAAGTTACTCATCAACGCACTGTAGGATTCTCTGTGTGTACAACTATCACAGCCTGGAACAAGTACTACACACACACACACACACACACACACACACACACACACACAACAGGGACTGCAGAGGTCTTGTAAGTTTTTCACCCATCAGTGAATAATCCCCTGAAGAGGTTCATTATTAAATTACTTTTAATATTAATTAATTCATGTTAAATTTAATGTCAGATTATTTGCGTTGGCCTTGGGCCTGTGATCCACCCCCCCCTGCAGGTGCGCTCCTGATCGACAGCCTGAGTCCCTTCATCTTTCCCACAGTTTAAATGTTTAAGATGATTCAGAGGAGACGTCGCGTTCTTGTGTCTTTAAAACAGCCGGTTGTCATGTGTGATGATCAGAGCTTCACAGTGAGCTGAGCTGCTGCCGACATGGTTTCAATCAAGTTCATCCTGCTGACCTGTGAGTATCCCGACTCATTTACTGTAACATCAACGAGACAGTTTCCATAGATACACACCTCTGTCACACATTTTCATCATTAATAATATAAAATAAATTACATTTCTTGATTATTGAATACGTTTTTACTAAAGCTGCAACAACTGAGAGTCAAACGACCAATTGACAGAATTAGTCCTCACATTTTGGACATTGATTTAATTTTTTGTTTAAATCAAGAAACTCTTTTCTGATGTTAAATAATTAGAGATGCAGATGAATTAATAATAAAAACAATAGTTATTTTTAGACCATAGTTTTATTGATTGATAGATTTTTTTTAAATAGACCAATTTTCAGACTAATATTTAAAATAATAAAATCCTGGGAGATATTTTCAAACCGGTTTTAGAGCCTTGTGTAAATGAATGAACAGCAGAGTCAGTTATTAAAGTGTTACTGACACTGTGTGTTTCAGGTGTGGTCATTGGACTCTTCGGTTCAGGTAAAACCTAAAATATCATGTGCATGTGTTTACATTACTCACCGGAGAACCAATCATCTGGACTGAAGTATTTGGACATTTGCATATTCTGAGCTTCCACACATTCAGTTTGAAATAAAACATCCAATGTTACAGTGAAGCCTGAAAAATGTCTTGACTGGATGTCCAGTGTCTTCGTGTCAGCCTGAAGACACGGAGACGTCTCTGTCCAGTGTTTGATGAATGTTCCTCTTTCACTTTGTGTTGTGTAGTTGCCTCAGACGACTCAGATGAAGATGACAACGACCTGACAGAAGACGATGACAGCAAAGAGAAGTCAGAAGACATTTACAATTTAACTCTCCTCAGTGCTCCTCAACATTCTCTCCATCTTTCTGTCAAAGTATCGTCTCAAAGTGTGTAAACAGGATTAATCAGGGCGAGGCGATATGACTTCAAATCAATATGACAATTATTTCAAACTTTTCCTGGATTACGATCAATGAAGGATTATTTTCTGCGTCATCTACAGCGTCCTGCAGAGTGTCCACCGATTGGTCTGTCCATTGTGCGACCTCCCTTTCAGCCTTTGCCTGTATTTTGGCATGAGGACGTTTCTTGTGGGGAGGAGGTCGTGTTGATGGTCGCTCACAGAGTTTCAGCCATTTTTGCATTTGTAGGTTACAACAGCTTCTTCTAGACACTTGGACGAAAGTTCAGACAGGACGCTACAGCAGCAAGACGGGTCAGTACAATTCTGCATGGTCATATGATTAATGGTGTCTCTCTCTCCCCTGTCTTCTTAGCAATACAAAAGATCCACCCAGCACCAGCGAACCTGCAAACACTGTCCCCACCACACAATCTGAAGTACCTGAGGACACTGTCCCCACCACACAATCTGAAGAACCTGAGGACACTGTCCCCACAACACAATCTGAAGTACCAGGAGACAATACGTCCCTTGCAAATTTCTTTGCCAACAGAAATGAAAAAGTGGACATGACACTGTCTCTGTGACCGACGTTGAGATGTTTCACTCATAACTACACTCTGATGTCGACCTGTGTTCATACTCATGAGGTCAAACAGTATTTGAAAATAGCAGCAGGGAGTCATGGAAGTTTTCACTGAACTTTCAAATAAATGATAAATAAAGACCCGAAGAGTTTGTGTCTCGTGTCAAAATCCTTCTTTTCAAGATAAATAACCGAGAAACACAAGTTAGTTTGTCTTTTAGTTTAAGATTCAAGTTAAAATAAATCCAACACATCAACCAGGAAAGTCAAAAATACAAAAATAAGGCCGGCAGTGTTTAGCTCAACTTAGAACAGGTAAGTCCTGGTACCTGAACTCACCACCAGGGGATTCATGCAATACTGGAGATTTAAGAGTTTATGGATTTTGTCACAGCGCCACCTAATAAATTGAAAGCTGCAGTTTCAGGCCCACGCCTTTAGGTCCTCATCTAATTTTGTAACATTAGGTGGCACTGTCCCAAAAACCAGCGTCTCTGGAATCCGCTTTTCGTCTCGTTCACAGGTTCACCGCCACAAAAACAAATGTGTGTGTGTGTGTGTGTGTGAGAGAGAGAGAGAGAGAGAGAGAGAGAGAG